TCAGCAGTAAGGGGCGTGTCTACTGATGATGTGGGAGAGAGAATGAACCAATCAGCAGTAAGGGGCGTGTCTACTGATGATGTGGGAGAGAGAATGAACCAATCAGCAGTAAGGGGCGTGTCCACTCATGATGGGGGAGAGAGAATGAACCAATCAGCAGTAAGGGGCGTGTCTACAGATGATGTGGGAGAGATAATAAACCAATCAGCAGTAAGGGGCGTGTCTACTGATGATGTGGGAGAGAGAATGAACCAATCAGCAGTAAGGGGCGTGTCTACTGATGATGTGGGAGAGAGAATGAACCAATCAGCAGTAAGGGGCGTGTCTACTGATGATGTGGGAGAGATAATAAACCAATCAGCAGTAAGGGGTGTGTCTACTGATGATGTGGGAGAGAGAATGAACCAATCAGCAGTAAGGGGTGTGTCCATTCATGATGGGGGAGAGAGAATGAAGCAATCAGCAGTAAGGGGCGTGTCTACTGATGATGGGGAGAGAGAATGAACCAATCAGCAGTAAGGGGCGTGTCTACTGATGATGGGGGAGAGAGAATGAACCAATCAGCAGTAAGGGGTGTGTCCACTCATGATGGGGGAGAGAGAGAGTGAACCAATCAGCAGTAAGGGGTGTGTCTACTGATGATGGGGGAGAGAGAGAATGAACCAATCAGCAGTAAGGGGTGTGTCTACTGATGATGGGGAGAGAGAATGAACCAATCAGCAGTAAGGGGTGTGTCTACTGATTATGTGGGAGAGAGAATGGACCAATCAGCAGTAAGGGGCGTGTCTACTGATGATGGGGAGAGAGAATGAACCAATCAGCAGTAAGGGGTGTGTCCACTCATGATGGGGGAGAGAGAGAGTGAACCAATCAGCAGTAAGGGGTGTGTCTACTGATGATGGGGGAGAGAGAGAATGAACCAATCAGCAGTAAGGGGTGTGTCTACTGATGATGGGGAGAGAGAATGAACCAATCAGCAGTAAGGGGTGTGTCTACTGATTATGTGGGAGAGAGAATGAACCAATCAGCAGTAAGGGGTGTGTCCACTCATGATGGGGGAGAGAGAGAGTGAACCAATCAGCAGTAAGGGGTGTGTCTACTGATGATGGGGGAGAGAGAGAGAATGAACCAATCAGCAGTAAGGGGTGTGTCTACTGATGATGTGGGAGAGATAATAAACCAATCAGCAGTAAGGGGCGTGTCTACTGATGATGGGGGAGAGAGAATAAACCAATCAGCAGTAAGGGGCGTGTCTACTGATGATGTGGGAGAGAGAATGAACCAATCAGCAGTAAGGGGCGTGTCTACTGATGATGTGGGAGAGAGAATGAACCAATCAGCAGTAAGGGGCGTGTCTACTGATGATGTGGGAGAGATAATAAACCAATCAGCAGTAAGGGGTGTGTCTACTGATGATGTGGGAGAGAGAATGAACCAATCAGCAGTAAGGGGTGTGTCCATTCATGATGGGGGAGAGAGAATGAAGCAATCAGCAGTAAGGGGCGTGTCTACTGATGATGGGGAGAGAGAATGAACCAATCAGCAGTAAGGGGCGTGTCTACTGATGATGGGGGAGAGAGAATGAACCAATCAGCAGTAAGGGGTGTGTCCACTCATGATGGGGGAGAGAGAGAGTGAACCAATCAGCAGTAAGGGGTGTGTCTACTGATGATGGGGGAGAGAGAGAATGAACCAATCAGCAGTAAGGGGTGTGTCTACTGATGATGGGGAGAGAGAATGAACCAATCAGCAGTAAGGGGTGTGTCTACTGATTATGTGGGAGAGAGAATGGACCAATCAGCAGTAAGGGGCGTGTCTACTGATGATGGGGAGAGAGAATGAACCAATCAGCAGTAAGGGGTGTGTCCACTCATGATGGGGGAGAGAGAGAGTGAACCAATCAGCAGTAAGGGGTGTGTCTACTGATGATGGGGGAGAGAGAGAATGAACCAATCAGCAGTAAGGGGTGTGTCTACTGATGATGGGGAGAGAGAATGAACCAATCAGCAGTAAGGGGTGTGTCTACTGATTATGTGGGAGAGAGAATGAACCAATCAGCAGTAAGGGGTGTGTCCACTCATGATGGGGGAGAGAGAGAGTGAACCAATCAGCAGTAAGGGGTGTGTCTACTGATGATGGGGGAGAGAGAGAGAATGAACCAATCAGCAGTAAGGGGTGTGTCTACTGATGATGTGGGAGAGATAATAAACCAATCAGCAGTAAGGGGCGTGTCTACTGATGATGGGGGAGAGAGAATAAACCAATCAGCAGTAAGGGGCGTGTCTACTGATGATGGGGGAGAGAGAATAAACCAATCAGCAGTAAGGGGCGTGTCTACTGATGATGGGGGAGAGAGAGAGTGAACCAATCGGCAGTATGGCGTACCACAAGGCTCAGTACTAGGACCACTGCTGTTCACTCTGTACATGCTACCATTAGGAGATATCATTAGGAAACATGGAGTTAGCTTTCACTGTTATGCCGATGATACTCAGCTGTATATTTCTTCAAAACCCAACGAAACTTACCAATTCACAAAATTAACGGAATGCATAGCTAATATAAAAAATTGGATGACTAGTAATTTCCTACTACTAAATTCTGAAAAGACAGAGATTCTAATTATTGGACAAAAAACTTCCACACGTAATAACCCAGAATACTGTCTAACACTTAATGGCTGCTCTGTCAAGTCTTCGTCGTCGGTTAGGAACCTGGGTGTGCTCTTTGATACCAACCTTTCTTTTGAAAGCCACGTGTCTAGTATCTGTAAAACTGCATTTTTCCATCTTAAAAATATATCTAAAATATGCCATATGCTCTCATTGGGAAATGCGGAACAATTAGTCCATGCGTTCATGACCTCAAGGCTAGGTTACTGTAATGCTCTACTGGGTGGTTGCCCTGCACACTTAATAAACAAACTACAGCTGGTTCAAAATGCTGCAGCTCGAGTTCTTACCAGAACCAGGAAATATGACCATATTAGCCTGGTTCTGTCAACACTGCATTGGCTCCCTATGAAACATTGTATAAATTTTAAAATATTGTTGATTACCTACAAAGCACTAAATGGTTTAGCTCCGCAGTACTTGAGCGAGCTCTTAACGCATTATAGTCCTTCACGTCTATTGCGATCTCAAAATTCCGGCCAGTTGATAATACCTAGAATATCAAAATCGACTGCTGGCGGTAGATCCTTTTCCTATTTAGCACCAAAACTTTGGAACAGTCTTCCCACCATTGTCCGGGAAGCAGACACACTCTGTCAGTTCAAAGCTAGACTAAAAACACATCTCTTTGACCTAGCATACACATAATACATTATAGACTTCTATAATTCAATGTTAGGCTGCATAGATTAGGTCAGCTGGAACTGGGAACACTTCCCTTAAATCCTGATGTACTCGTTACATCATAAGAAGAATGGCATCTACGCTAATATTAGTGTCTTTGTTTATCCCGAGGTTTTCCCGCAGCCTGCCGGATCCAGGCCGTGTCCAGATCTGACGAAGGAGATTCGCCTGGACCCGATGACAATGCAGTGCTGAAGTATCCACTATCCTCCGCCTATGGAGGATCCCTTTCCCACTCTACAGATAAAGCGTTGTGAATTCCGGCTCGCGTACCCCGAAGTGATAAAATAAAACAAAATTCTGTATCAAAATTTATAGGCAAGAAAAGTAGTTTGTTTAGGCTGGGTTGTATGAATTACAAACCTGCGCACATATTTTAAAAAGCACATAACTATAGAATTCTGAATGAGCATGTGAACGCCGTCAGCGTTAATCACAGGTTCGCGTTTAAAGTCTGATCATTTCGACGGAGGTGAATCAATCAAAGTTAACTTTAGCTGGAAGTAACATTATTCAAGAACCGCTATAACGCCAAACAATCTGTTACCTTAAATTATATGTTTATCTCTGTAAAGCTGCTTTGAAACAATCCATTGTTAAAAGCGCTATATAAATGAAGATGACTTGACTTGGCAGCAAGGGGCGTGTCCACTCATGATGGGGGAGAGAGAATGAACCAATCAGCAGTAAGGGGCGTGTCTACTGATGATGGGGGAGAGAGAATAAACCAATCAGCAGTAAGGGGCGTGTCTACTGATGATGGGGGAGAGAGAGAATGAACCAATCAGCAGTAAGAGGCGTGTCCACTCATGATGGGGGAGAGAGAATGAACCAATCAGCAGTAAGGGGCGTGTCCACTCATGATGGGGGAGAGAGAATGAACCAATCAGCAGTAAGGGGCGTGTCCACTCATGATGGAGGAGAGAGAATGAACCAATCAGCAGTAAGGGGCGTGTCTACTGATGATGGGGAGAGAGAGTGAACTAATCAGCAGTAAGGGGCGTGTCTACTGATGATGGGGGAGAGAGAGTGAACCAATCAGCAGTAAGGGGCGTGTCTACTGATGATGGGGGAGAGAGAGTGAACCAATCAGCAGTAAGGGGCGTGTCTACTGATGATGGGGAGGAGAGAGACGCAAGTGTGACGCTCGCGTACGTAAGTGTGGGGCGGAGCTATCAAATTAGGGGCGTGGTCCTTTTGAGGTAGTGGCGAGTTTGTTTTGGTGATTTCAAATATCAACACTGGCCAAAAGTGTTTTCAAACTGATCACATGATCTGAGGATTCAGTCACGCCTGCAGAGCGAAACCCTGAACCAGCATTATGAACACGAGAACACTCAACTGAATCTGATTCTCAATGATCTTTTATTATATTATGTACATATGCAAGCGTACACATCAGGTTAGCATGATCATTAGATGATGGATCTGCTGCACTTTCACATGTTTGTTCTTCATCATCTACAGGTTCATGTGTGTTTAAACATCATAGTTTTATAATGATAAACTCTTCTCATACGGAAAGGAATGTCAGATATTTACTCATTTAAACGGAGAATGAAATAAGACCAGATGCATTTCTGTGTTCTTCTTCCACCTGATGTCAAACTGAAGATGGTTCTGTTTAGTGTGTCTGTGTGTGTGTGTGTGTTTGTGTGTGTGTGGGTGTGTGTGTGTGTGTGTGTGTGTGTGTGCGTGTGTGGTTCACATGTATCTGTTTCTGATGTACTCTCGGTACATGAGCAGGTCCTCGTGACTCAGAGTCCTGACCCATCCTCGACCCGTCTGAACGTGACACTCGAACACGGACCGACTCTGGACGTCCACCTCCGGAACCGACACCTCCAACACACTGTCCACCGGGAACACCGACACCGGGACACTGAGCAGGACACACACACACACACAACACCTTTAAAATACACTGACCGGAACACACACACACACACACACAACACCTTTAAAATACACTGACCGGGAACACACACATGCACAACATGCACAAAACAAAACATTTTTCATTTTTAAAGAGAATATGTATGAAATTAGATTAAAATGTGTTATAAAACACTGTAAAATAAAGTTATTTAATTATAATTTAATTAAATAAAACATTTTATTTTATCTTTAAAAAGAGAATTCGTATGAAATTAGACTAAACATATTTAAAAAATACATTAATATAAAATCTTTTTATTCCAACTATTGAAAATACTACCGTATAACCATTTATTTCTAATAACTGAATATTCAACAAAACATTTTATTTTATTTTGAAATAGAATATGTATAAAATTAGATTAAAAATATGTTATAAAACGCTACAATATAATATTATTCAATTACAATAATTGAATATTAAATAAAACATTTTTTTAAATAATTTGTATGAAATTAGATTTAAAATATTTTTAAAATGCTATGATATAAAATCTTTTAATTCCAATTATTGAATATTAAACAAAACATGTTTGTCTTATTTTTAAAGACAATATGTATAAAATTAGATTCAAAATATTAAAAAAATCTACAATATAAAATCTTTTAATTCTAATTATTGAATATTATAACATTTTTATTTTTAAAGAGAATATGTATGAAACTAGATCAAATATTTTTTTTTAAATACTATAATATCAAATGATTTCATTGTAATAATTTTTAAAGAAAATATAGATGAAATTGGATTAAAAATATAAAAAGTATAATATAAAATATTTTCACTGTAATAATTGAATATCAAAAAATTTTTTTTTAAGAGAATATGTATGAAATTAGATCCAAATATTTTAAAGTACTATAATATAACATCTTCAATTCTAATAATTTAATATTAAATAAAAAATATATATTTTAAAGAGAATATCTATGAAATTACATTAAAATATTTAGAAATGCTATAATATAATATTCTAATAAATGAATATTAAATTCAAATTTGTTTAATCTTTAAAAATAATATATACAATTATTTTTTTTAATTCTATAATAAATAATTATTTAATCATAACAACTAAATATATATATATTTTTAAGTTTTAAAGAGAATATGTATAAAATTTGATTAAAAATATATAAAAATGCTATAACATATAATCATGTAATCCTAATATTTTTTTTATGTTTAAAGAGAATAAGTGTTAATATGAATAAATAGTGTTATAAACATGTGTAAAAACGGGCAAACGTTACAGTGATTAACATAAATGCTCGCTCTTTCTTTTTCTTTCTCCACCAATAACTGCAGGAAAAAGCGACTGCGATAAAAGTGTTGCAAAGCAAGAGAAGAGGCAGTGAACTCATGGACGGCTCCGGCGCATGAAACATGACTCACGCTCTTCTTTCTTCAGGACAAGTGAAGATTTATTGCGATATTCTAATAAGGCACATGTAGGAGACACGAGTCTATACTCACTATCATCATCATTATAGATCTCACGTCTCACAAAACATCTTATCATTACTGCAAGAGAATTCGTTTTTCTGGACCTAAATATCCATGAAGTCTTCTGACACTGGACTGGTGTGTGTGTGTGTGTGTGTGTGTGTGTGTGTGTGTGAGAGAGAGTGTGTGTGCGTGTGTGTGTGTGAGAGAGTGAGTGTGCGTGTGTGTGTGTGTGAGAGAGAGAGAGGGTGAGAGTGTGTGTGTGTGTGAGAGAGAGAGAGGGTGAGAGAGAGTGTGTGTGTGTGTGTGTGTGTGTGAGAGAGAGAGGGTGAGAGTGTGTGTGTGTGAGTGTGTATGTGATAGAGAGAGGGTGTGTGTGTGTGTGAGAGAGGGTGAGAGTGTGTGTGTGTGTGTGTGTGAGAGACACTGAAGACTGGAGTAATGATGCTGAAAATTCAGCTTTGATCACAGGAAAAAAATACACTTTACTGTATATTCACATAGAAAACAGCTGTGTTACATTATAATAATATTTCATAATTTTTACTGTATTTTTGATCAAATAAATGCAGCCTTGAGCAGAAGAGACTCTTTCAAAAGTGTTTAAAATGTAAAGAGATTTGACTATTGGATTATTATTCAGACAAGAAATGCAACAAAAAAAAACTGTTTTATAGTTTTTTAACTCCATAAAACTCTATTAACTCTATTAACATTTCCATTACTTTCTTTTTACAACTCCTTGATATTTACAGGTTA